AGGTAACAGTCAACCAGAATGGGCGTCATAATAAATCCTACTATCTTCACAGCTGTTGCCTAAACTTTCGAACCTGGTACTATCAAGCAAAACAGAATAGAGGAACATCAGTCAAAACAAGATGGTGAGAGCAATACAGGGCTTTAAATCAAGATAATGGAAAGTCAAAGTGGGTTGCTATAATATATCCTGCTATTTTTTAACTTATTTTTCCCTTAATTAAAAGGATAAAAAAAGTAAATAATAAAATAGAGATTGAGATAAAAGAGGGCATAACAGCAAATCAGCGCAGATCAAAACATAACCATTTAAGCAAAATAGTGTTTCACCACAAGATTATCGCGACATAAAAGTCGTTACCATATTGTCTCTTTCCTTGAAATCTTTGAGCATAACTTTGTATACTGTAGCATCAAATATATCAAAACAATGTAAAACCATTCAAGAGAATGACAGTATTACAGGGTATTTAGAATCAACTAACAGAAAATAAACAATGGTTTCTGTATAATCTCCTTGTCTATAAAAGGTTTTGCTTATAGTTTCATATAGAATAAAATCCAATAAGATACCACCTGTTTAGACCAATGGAGACAGAAGAACAAAAGCTTGATGAGACTTCAAAACAAGATGATACTAAATCAGTATTACCTCTTAAGACATCATTTTCTCCAAAATAGCTGTTCCTATCATCCAATCTTCTCTGCCTCATTTCTGTTGAGCTCTTTTGCTGTCATTAGTTGTCAGTTTGTCTTCTTCATTTTGTTTTCTGCTCCATTCATTGTGGCCTCTCTGCCGCTACTTCTGGATTCTTCGTATTTTTCTTTTTTAGAATATCTTGCAGTATTCTCTATAGAGTTGAATTGGTGGTTGCATATTCCCCTAGTTCCTCTTTATCCTGGAAGCACCTTGTTTTTCCATCAATTTCCAGGGATAGTTGTGCAGGATATATCAATCTTGGCTGGAGGTTGTTATTTTTCAAAGCTTGCATTATTTCCCCCCACACTCTTCGTGATTTGATGGTTTGTGCCGAGAAGTCTGCTGTAATTCTGATGGGTGTTCCCTTGTAAGTGATCTGTTTCTTGTCTCTGATGGCTTTTAGTATTCTGTTCTTGTATTGGATTTCTGGAATTTTAATTATTATATGCCTGGGTATTGCTCTGTTTGGGTTGTAGGTGGCTGGGGTCCTGTATACTTCATACAACTGAGTATCTTTACCTTTTGCTAAATTAGGAAAATTCTCCTGGATTATTTCTGTGAGTAGCTTTTGTAGTTCATTTGTTTATGTCCCTACTTCTCCTTTTATGTTCTCAATTCTTAAGTTATAGACCCTCTTATCATCTTCTAGTCTTTGTATTATTGCTGTTTCTTTGTTATTTTTAAGAAGTTTTTCATTTCATGCTCCCATATTACAAATCTGCCCTCCACTTCAGATAATCTGTCCTTAGTTTCTTTCAAGCTGTTATGCCAGTTTTCAATAGACTTTTTAGTTTCCTGGTATTCTCTTTGAATCTGCTTCACATATTCTATGCTTTCTCTATTTTCTCCATTAAACAATTCTCCCCTCTTTTTCTGTTCTTCCATTCCACCATCTGTTTTTTAGGTCGTGCTCAATTCACATTAATTCCCCTTTCGCTATTTCTCGTGGTTACGTGAACTTCCCCACAGTGAGCAGATGTATTAGGCACTAAAGCTAAGCGGGAATCCAGTTCTGTTAAGAAAAGCCTCTTCCTCAGGGGGCTTCAAGATCCACGAATCTCAGGGTCTAGGGACCCCTTTGCTGTTCTCCAACAGCCCGAGCAACAAAAGGAATTGCCAGTGAACTGAAAATATAGTTAGGTGGGCACAGTGGCACAGCTGCATCCCCGCACGCTGGGAGGCTGAGGTAGGAGGACTGGAAGTTTGCACCCAGCCCCAAGGACTTACTGACTTAACAGTGATGAGAGGTGGCTCAGTACAGAAGCTCTGGGCTCAGCACCCAGTGCCACCAAGGAAAAAAAAACAGAAAAAGAAGAAAGAAAATCCACTTGTGATCAGCAGCCCTGAATGGGGACTTCTCAAACAGCCTCTTGTAGGACAGAGGACCATGCCTATGACACAAAAGTGCCAAGGTTTCTCTTGATGAAGAGTTAGATTTCTGACTCAACTCCAAGATACCTAACAAGACACTTTAACAGCAGATTTTTAGCCAGGCATGATGGTGCATGCCTGTAATCCTAGTATTCAGGGAGGCTGAGGCAGGAAGGTCACTGGGAGTTCAAGACTAGCCTATACTACATAGTGAGACCTTGTCTCAAAGACAAAAACAAAAATGCAGATTTTAAAAAAACAGATGGTTTCAACTTTAAACATTTTTTTGGTTTACTATTTCCAGAATGAAGCATTACAGAACATGTTCATGACACTGGATTTGGCAATGCATTCTTAGCTATGATACCAAAAGTATGAGCAACAAAAAAAAACTGATAAATCAGATCTCATTAAAAGTCTCTTATCATCAAAGAAAGTAAAAAGACAACTTACAAAATGGGAGAAAATACATGCAAATCACAAATCTCATAAGTATATAAAATTCAGAACCCATAAAGGATTCCTGAGACTCAACCCAAAGTGCCACAACCCAGTTAACAGTAAACAAATGACTCGAACATATCCTTTCAAAGAAGATAAACACATGAAAAGAGGAGCACCATTTGATAACTTGGACCAAAAATATCAAAACCTCAGTCTGATGCCATTCTAGGCTACACAATGAGACCCTGTCTCAAAAACAAACAAACAAACCACAACATGCCACGTCAAACGTACTGGGACATATATCATAGAAACAACAGAGCCCACGCTGGGGAGGTGCTGGTAAAACTCTTATACCCTGATGACAGGAATATTAAATGGTGCGGACACTGTGGGGAAGTCTGGCAGCTCCTTAAAAAACTGAACAGCCAGAAGTGGTGGCACACATCTGCAGTCCCAGCACTTGGGAGGCTCAGGGGCAGGAGGGTCACTGTGAGGTCCAGGCCAGGCCGAATTACACAGTGAGACCCTGTGTCAAAAAACAAAAACAAACAAACAAACAAACAAGCAAAAAACTTGTAACTCACACTGTATATCATGACATATACTTAAAAAAAACTAAAAATTAAAAAGGAACTCACTAAATATAGAATCACAATATGACCAAGCTGTGGGAGACAACTCCAGTGTCTCCCTTTGAATCCAAGACAATTACTGTGACTTTGAATATTTGCAGACTCATTTCCCTATACTGATATATAAAAAGGTGGCTAGGGTGTTTCCTTCTCTTCAATTAACTCTGAGCATGGCAAACAAGGCTAGCGCAGGTGCTAATGTGCGGAAATCTATAGCCATCACAGATGTGAGAGAACTCCAGTGACTCCCTTTGGATCCAAAACAATTGCTGTGACTTTGATTACTCGGGGTCTCATTTCCTTATACTGACATGTGAAAGGCTGGCTAGGATATTTTTCCTTCTCTCTTCAATTGGCTCTAAGCATTGCAAATAAGGCTAGCTGAGGTGTTAATGTGCAAAGTCTAGCCATCAGACAGTCCTGTTTCCTCGCATGGTGCTCTCCACAGTCAGAATTGAGCTGGCAAGATGTAGAGCAAATAGCTTTGGGAATGTCAACTGGACAGGAGCCTCAAGGTAAAAGGCTATGACTCCCCAGGGCACAAGTTTGCATATCAAAAACCGAAGCAATAGTCCCCCAAAACAATTCCACTGCTACCTTAATTAGGTTATGCAAACTGATCCTTCTGCATATCTTTATCTCTGCAAATTACAGAGAAGCCATTCTTGCACCTGGTCAGCCAGCTCAAGTTACTCAGTAATCCCTCCTCCCCCACATCCTGTCACTCACCTCTGAGCTACCCCCCTTTCTACACACGAGAATAAATGCTGGGAGAGGCCTAGGATCCAGGCCTTTGTCCACATGTCCTCACGGGAAACGGACTGAGGACCCCTTGGCTGCCCGTAACTTGGAGTATGCCTTTGCCTTTGTGTTTTTATTCTCACCGTGGATTGCACTGGTGGTGGTAGATTGGAATTTACTGGCTGGGATTCCAATAATGTCTCGATGGGATTACAAATATAACTTTTTGGATTGTGAGGAAGACTAGAAAGAGGATTACAATACTCGGGTGACTGAACTCGATTTTTGGGTTTACAATACCAAGCAATGAAGGGTCTGCCTATAAAAATTGAAAACACAGCTATTTGTATGCTAATCTTCAATGTATCGCTCCAACAATCATAGGTGAAAACTACTTGAGTGCCAGCCAACAGATGAACACATAAAAAATTGGAAACAGAGCCAGAGCTGGCATATGCCTATAATCCCAGCATTCAGGAGGCTGAGGCAGGAAGGCTGTGTGAGCTAAAGGTCAACATGGGTTACATAGTGGTACTGTGGCTCAAAACAAACAAAACAAAAACAAGTACATATGCAATGGAAAATATTACCCAGCCCTTAAAAGAAAGACCCTCATATGAGGGTCTACCCTCACATGCTACAGCATGGATGAGCCTTTAAAATACTATGCTAAATGAAAGAAGCCAAACACAAAAGCATAACCATTGTGCGATCCCTCTTATATGAGGTACCTAGAACAGTCAAATTCATAGCAATTAAAAGTACAGTTAGAAGTTACCAGGGTCTGGGGAAGATATGATGGATAAGGAGTTACTGCTTAAAGGTGGCAATTTCTGCTCGAAGTGATAAAAACCTTTGGGAAATAGTGATGATGGTTGTCCAATTCTGTGAATTATTGCCACTGAATCATACACTTAAAAATGATAAAAATGGGGAGCTTTATGTTACATATATTCTACACAATAAAAATATGCAAATAGGCAAAGTAAATATATAGGAATAAGAAAAAAAAGCCCAAAGATTACAGCTAAAATAAAGGAACAGAAAAAAAAAAATTAAAAAAAAAAACTGCAGCTAAAATAATACAGAGAAACACCAGCCTATCTGTACCTTTCCACACACTGCAGCCGAGAGAGGGGAGGCCGACATCTCTGGTTGTGAGATTCCCGTGCAGCGAGTCTGGCTCCTGACAACTGCAAGAGTACAAATCTCGCTTAACAAACTATCAAATTTGCTACTGATCTAAAAAACCTGGTAGCACATATGATATCAAAAAGCAAGAAATTCCAGCAGTTTAATATCCTGAATAAGCATTCATGGCACTGAGCGACACAGCACTCCAGCACAGTGATTTTAACCAGGGTGGAGAGCAGTGCTGAAGGCGCTGTTTAACAATAAATCCAGGGGCTGGGGGTTTAGCTCAGCAGCATAAGCACCTGCCTTGAAAGCAGACAGTCCTGAGTTCGATCCCTGGTACCGATAAAAAGGAAAAAGACCAAAAAAACCCAAAAAACAATAAATCCAACAAAACTGAAAATTCTGCAGTCAAAGCTTTCAGAAACTTGAACCAGAACTTGGTCCAAAAAGAGACCATGCTCGTAACTATATTTGGGCGCCTTCATTGGTCATCTGGGAGTTATACAAAGGATATTCAATACAAATGTCCTGAACAGCATTTTTCTAGCATTTCCTGGAATGATCATGACCTTCATCAGTGATGGTGAACCCATGGCATGTGTGCCGTGGCGGGGTGTTCGTTCTTGCAAGCTCTGAATGGTTTACCGTCACTGAGCACAGACATTTCTGGGAGGAATCTATGCAATGCTAGCAACCAGATGTTGCCAATTCATAAACGGTACTTTCTACCCCCAAATTCATATTTACAGTTTAACCCTCAGTGATGGTACAGGTGAAGGGAGCATCCCTAACCCAAAACACTTACATTTTCATTAGGGATGCTCAATCAGTGAAGTCTATGTAAACAGTCCACATCCTGGGGTAATAAATCTCAATTTAGAGTAGGGCCCTTGAAAAGTAATTAGGTCATTCAGATCAACAGCACCCTTGTGAACAGAATTAGTACACTTGGCTTGGGTGAGGTCCTTCTTTGACTTTCTTAGGTTTTCCCCCCTATCTCCTTCCTGGTCTCCTGTTGTGAGCAAGAACGGTTACCCAATATTAACATGTCAGTCTTAAGAATACAGTAAGATATCAATAATCTGATTCAATTGGGCGTTATTAATCACAGTCTCCCAACTAAAAAACATAGTATCTCTATCTCTTTTAAGAGACTTATCTGATGTAATAGTTAAACATTACATCATTACATATTTTTATTATTCTTGATAAAACTGATTCACATTAAAAATGTATACAAAAACTGTCATACCTTTTCATCTTCCCACTGAAAAAAATTACAATCTTTTCTATCTCTACAGGCTGAACAGGCATAAAACTTCCGTGTTTCTTCCTTGCCTTGGTTCACCTTTACAAACAGAAGGGTAGGACCTAGTTCCAGAATACGAAAAAAAACATGACAAACAATAGCAATCTGCATCAAGTTGTTAGCTTTCAGTACTTTAAATAAAAATTGGGTAGGCTTTATGCACAACTTATAATAATACATTTTTTTCCTCAGTCACAACATTCAAGTACTACTTAGAAATCATTTTTTTAAAAAAAGTGGTCGGGCTGGGGATTTACCTCAGCGGCATAAGCACTTGCCTTGCAAGCAGGCGGTCGTGAGTTCGATCCCCGATACCGATTAAAAAAAAAAAAAGTGGTCTCCCCTGAAAGGAAACAGTATAGCTGTCCACACTGAATGTTACAAGTCTGAGTTTACCAACTCCGACAATGAATGCAATCATTATGTACTGCAAACATACAGAGTACTAATAAAACTTTCAAACAAAAATCTGAAAAACGAAAAACTTAAGTCCTGCCATCCCCATCTGCAGCATCTCTAGCAGTTATTCTTTCAGGAAAACTTGAACTTTTACAACTGGCCACATCTTCTCTCTACAAGTTAAAGAAATGCTGGGTCTGATTTGCAGGCAAAAAATTCTATCATCCTCTCTACTTAAAAAGACAATAAAGATAACAAATCAACACATGAAATCCCCAATTACTTGTCACCAGGCATTTTTCAACACCATGCATCCCCTCCCCCTATCCCGCTGCCCCTTCCCTGCAGACAAAACCCCAAGAGCAGGAACTTCTCAGGTTTCTGAGAGAAGGTGAAAAAACGTGCTGAAAAAGCGCTGCTTTTTTATGCACCACAAACGGTTGGGAAGAGAAGCAGAGGAAAATCTGTTCCAGGGAAAAAGTCCTAAAAGCCCATGAACCAGGGAAGGATCAGGGATTTAGCTCAGCGGTTCCTCGTCAGCGCGAGGTCATGAGTTCCATCCGCGGTGCCAAAAACAAAACAAAACAAAGCAAAACACCCCTAAGACACTTCCCATACAACCCACAATTGTGGCGCCAGCCCCTGACGCCGACTCACCGTGAGGGCAAAGCGGGGCGGGCGCAGCAGGATCCGAAAGGAGCACCACCTTCACTCCCGAGCCCCCCAGCCTTCCCGCGACGGGCTCTGCATCCATAGAGTCCTGCGCGTCTACGGGGGCTGCCATCTTTCCGCCACCTTCCCAAAAGCCTCAGTCCGAACCAAAGAGGCGAAGGAAGAGGGCCGCCGCGAGCCGCAGCCCCACAGCGCCCCCGCGCGGCTGGGAGGAGCCTCGAGCCGCAGCAGTACAGGCCTCCAACCCAATGCAGTCCTGTCGGTCCCTGAGCATGGCCTTAAGCGGTCTCTAGCCATAAGACTCCTGGATAGACCTGTACTAAGAGATCCCTTCCATCTGCCTAACCTGCAGTATTTGCACATACTCTTTATTTTCCCAAAAGACCAATGTCAGCATATGAGATGACTCTTTGGAAGAAAGGATTGGTCAGGTGAGAGGTTCAAACCAGACAAATACCTGAATAACTAGAATAGCTAAAATAGTTGAAACAGGTACCACAGCTGTGCATGGTAGAACCCTCTGCTTTTACGCAGTCACGGTGTCATCTTGTAACTCTTGGGCAATGTTTATAGTTGTACATTATCATTGGATTTATACATGTGTCACTGTGTATCAGTGATATAATGGTCTACAGTGCTCGGCAAATACCAAAGAATGTACAATTCTCATAACTTCCAGTTTAAACTGAGTTCGGCAAGGTTGCAGGATAGGGGACAAACATACAAAAATCAGTCACATTCCTACAGGCTAGCAATGATCACATGGACAATAAAGTTTAAAAGCTAGGGGCTGGGGATTTAGCTCAGCGGCATAAGTATCTGCCTTGCAAGCAGGCAGTCGTGAGTTCGATCTCCGGGACCGATAAAAATGAAAAAGACAAAAAAAAAGTTTAAAAGCAATAAAGACTGGTGGAATAAATAAAACAGGTATAAAATCTAACACAACATTCACTGGCCATACTGTGATCATTAGTTGGAAGAAAACATAGTAAAGACATTGCTTTAGTGTAATTCTTATCAAATACTCAACTAGCTGTACATAATACAGAGAATATTGTCCTGAATGTTACATGAAAAGGCAGGAGAATAACTAAAACAATTTTGAAGGAGAGTAATAAAGTGGGAGAATCAATCTATCCAGTTTCAGGGTTTACAGCTATAGGGATCAAGTTTGTTGTGTTACCGTGACTGCCACAGGATGGCACTCAGGACCAGGATTCACTGTATTTTTTCATCACTTCTCAAACATGCACGAAGAGGACTTTCAGAACTGCTTCAGAAAATGACAAGAGCCATGGGATAAGTGATTTGAAGGGGGGGGTATTGTGAAGGAATAATAGCAATGTGTCATTTACTGTAATCATTATTTTTAATTCAAGCATTCAGCATCTCTTGTATACACAGCTGCAGGCATTTGTATAATTGTGGATGAACTGGTCAGTTCTTTTCACAGTACTTGAAAATTGATGATGCACATACAAATTTCTTTTGTTTTTTATTTTATTTTTTGTACTGGGAATCAAACACAGGACCTTACACTTGCTGAGGCAGGTGCTGTGCCACTGAGCCGTATCTCCGGCTATTTTTGGTTTTTCGAGACAAGTTTTTGGTACATATTCATGGTGAGCTTGAACTCACTGCATAGTCCAGGTTGGCCTCAAACTCGAATTTGCAGCAATCTTTTTGCCTCAGCCTCCTGAGCCCTGGGTTTACAGGCAAGCACCACTGTTCCCAGTGACACATGCAAATAGAACCCAACACCTTACTAAACTACACTAGCTGGGAGCGATGATGGCGCTCTTCCATTCACATTCAGGTGACAGCTGTACTCATGTCTAGCACGCTCGCTGTGCCAGCTGTGTCTTCGATGAAATGCACACATGTCCACGTGGTCCAGCACGACTTTGCGGAGCATGTTATGTGCACTCCTACATCATTTGAGCTAGCGAGTGTCCTGGACCCATACATATGATATTTGGGGGACTCTGATGTTAAGACTTACTTGCCCATTTATTTTTTAATTTTTTAAAAAATTGGCTTACAGGTGCTGATTTGTCTTCTACAAAAGACTCGTCTATAAAATTTGCCATTGAGTCCATGGAAACACAGCACCAGAAAGAGTTACAGAATTTTTTTCTCTTTTAAGTATTGCTGACTCTGCCAGCCATCTCTGTAAGTGGTGGAAACCAGCTGGACCTGTAAGTTCTGCAGCCCAGAAGGACGCGAGGCTGGGGCACTCCTCCATGCAGCAGTAGCCCAGCACCTGCAAGGGCCTGAGTTCAACCACTGGCACGAAACACAAACACCACAAAAGGTGGGTGAAATAAATGAATGGGCACCGTGCAGTGAGGAAGAAAAAGGAATGACAGCTGCATGCACGACTGTAACCCCAGCGCTCAGGAGGCTGAGAGAAAGAGGATCACCGTGAGTTCAGGGCCAGCCAGGCCAACACTGTGAACACAGGATCAGCCTCAACTACAGAGTGAGACCTTGTCTTACCCTCACTCCCAAAATGTAAGTCTGTTTTCTGAGGGATAAATTTGAGGAGAAAAGTTCTCTCCTGCCTTTCTTCCTTCCCTCCTTTCTCTTTCCTTCTTTCAGCAAAATCTTACTGTGTAGCTTAGTTTGGCTTTGAAAGTGTGATCCTCCTGCCTCAGCCTCCCAAGTACTGGATTTACAGATGTGTGCCACCACACGCAAAACCAAGTGTCTTTTGAAATCATCAGTCCCCCAAATCTCAAGCCAGAAGAGCATCTTGTAGTGGATTCCTGTTCATCTTCCCTGGCCTCTGGGGCCAGGACCCCAGTTTTCCTCAGGGAAGCCGACCTACCCCAATTTCTGACGGTGCTGTTTGAAAGGGACCATTTAGACCAGGGACTGCTGGGGTCCAGACAGGGATATGGCATCCTCCCTGCACAGCCTGGGGAGACGCTGACTCGGTCGGATGTCAGCTGCACCCTGCCAAGTGCAGGAGGGGTTCAACTCGAGTCTCTGGCTGGGCTCAGTCTGTGTCCAATAGTTTGCTGAGCCGGGTCCTCTCCTGGAGAAATCTGCTCAGCCTCATCTGTCCCAGCCTCCTGGCCCAGCAGAGCAGCCGGGCCGGGCTTTCTCCGACGATGGCGTCTGCAGGGAGCTGCAGGAACAGGATGCAAACCAGGGAGGGCCGGCAGGGACCCGGGAGCTACACCAAAATGTTGTCAGGCTGCCTGCTTCTAAAAGCAGCTTACCAATAAACATTACTGGGTTCGGCTCGATCGCCCCTCCTGGAGTTGGATTCCAGGGTCTCCTAGTCTTCAGCGAAGAACTGAATGAAACGAACAAAAACCGCAGTGCCAGAGTTTGAAAAAGTGGAGTGAGGGAGAAACTAGCTTTGCAGAGAGAACTTGGGCAGAGTCCGGGGTAAAACAAAACAAAACAAAACAAAACAAAAAACACCCTGAAGAGAGCAGGACAGACGCTGGGGAGGAGAGCCCCGAGAGCTAGTTTCTCTGGGCACCTGGTTATTTTCATACTGCCCACGTGTTAGGGTAACATCCCCAGAGCGTCTGCACAAAGGTCCTGAGCGGCGGTGCCAGGACCCCGTGTCTCCGGCTGGCTGACGTCAGGTCCCGGCCACCTTGTTGGCAATTTGCTGGAGTTCTCGCGAGAACTCCGTTTGACCGGAGGGGGGTTTTTAGGAACTGTTCTGCGCATGTGTCGGGATCCTGCACTTTACAGGTCACGCCTACTACCCCAGCCAGATTTGCCGCACCCTAATCTCCTATATCAGAAGCTCTGTGAGCCCTTTAGAATTGATAATTTTCTTTTTCTTATCTGCACAGCACTGGCACAGAATAGATAATTAATGTGCATTTGATTAAATGACGACTAGAATCAGAATATCTGAGCTGGCAAAGACCACTGAGTCATTTCAGCAGAAGACTATAGAAAGGGCCCGGCTGCCTTCTGGGGTCCTCTCGGAAATGGCTGGAGCTGTTTTGGCTGTCACAGTGACAGAGCGGCACTTCAGGTACTTGCTGAGTGCTGAAGGACAAGTAATGAGGACAGTCACCCACGGTGTCCCACACGCTTTTGGAGCCTGGACCTTTATGTAGATGTAGAACCTGTTGGTAATTACTGGAGCCTAGAATCTAAATTGCCAGAAGGTCAAGGCCCAGCTGGGGGCAGTACAGGTTGAACTGGCTGGGCTCCAGCCATGTGTGTTGTCGCTGTGGGGCCAGGGCTGGAAAGCAGTGGGGGCCCCCAGTGGCTCTTCTCCTGGAGATGGCAGAGGCCCCAGGAAGCAAGTCCCAGAACACACCTGTCCTCTTCAGGAAATCCTCATTCCAGTCACGATGCTGTTACTCATGAGCAGGGCAGGAGGCCAAGCCTGGAGGCAGAGAACTTTATTTCCTTTCTTTCTTTTTTTCTTTCTTTTTCTTTTCTTGAGACAGAGTCTCACTACATAGTTCAGGCTAGCCTTACAATCACGCTGTTCCTCAGATTGGCCTCGAACTCATGTAACTTTCCTGCCTCAGCTTCCTAAGTGCTGGGATCACAAATACGTACCATCATGCCTGGCCAGAGTGAATATTTTGAGCAAAAATCTAATCCATCTCAGTAATTCCACCTAACTACTGTATCCTAATGCAGCCCTGATTTTAAAGTGTCCTGTATAAAGAAAAATTCAGTTTTGCCTTGCATTACTTAAATCTAAATGTATTCTATATAAAAAAGTCTAGGACTTTGACACTGACTTTATTAACTTAATTATAATTTAACCAGGTGTAGTCATGTCTTAGGATTCACACAGAAAATATGCATTTTAAGGAACTGTCCCCTTATTTGCAACACATTTATTTTATTTGAAATTAGCTGTTCATGTCGATTATATTAACTATGAATTTCATTTCAAGGGAGCCAAGGAAATTTGCGAAGTACTTCTGATAAAGAGGGCCTTGCACCCATCAGGTCACCCAGTGTCACCCAATGTGGAGATCGGAGGAGTTGAGTTAAAGTCCTCTCTGTACCTGCTGAGTGCAAATCTTGTGACCTCAGGAAGTAGTCCAAGGCCTATAAGCCTCTGTCCAGGATACTGTGGGGTAAATACACCAATCTCTTCCAGGTTGCATTGGGAATGAAATGACCCCTCCTGCGAGACACTCAGGA